CCCTTGGAGGAGATGCTCTATATGTCTTTCAACTTTAAAAAAAAAAAGGTATGCTGAAAGAGCTCTGTGCCTCTGTCTGTCTTTAGAGTGCTCTTTCACTATAAACAACATGAAACAGCCAACATGCAGCTTTAATTATAAATCTACATTAACCTCAGCCACAGTCACCCGGCCAGCTGATTACAGCGTTGGCATCTGTTAGCTCAAATATATCTAATGCAGTGTGATAAAACACATGATTTCCCTGAGTATGGGAAGGAATACTTCTGAAGGAATTCTATATTATAATCACAGAAAATTCCACATTCTCAAACACATTCCAAAGCAAAGGGTTCAAAGCTAGCAGTTACACCACGCTGACCACATATCCAAACAGTGTGCTCCACACTAATTAACCGACTAATTAGAACCAGTTAATTAATGCAACAGAGAGATAGACAGGCTTTCTTGCATTAGTGATTATTATAGCCATAATACGTATAACAGCAACAACAAAAACAATACTAGTAATAATTATAACTAGACCTGAAAGCAGGTACTAACGGCGTCCAGGCCCCCCAGCGCAGGCCACGCTCAGTTTGGTTTAACAGTGGTTTCGAATTTTGTTTTTGCATATTTCATGATTTTTAAACAAGAGTGTCACCTAGTGGCTTCCACATTTTTTGGATTGTCAAAATGAGGGTCCAAAGATTCTACGTGCAAAGTTTTGTGCAGATTGGGTCACCTACGAAGAGTTAAAATAAAGTAGGTTTTGCATATTTCACGATTTTGCATAAATAAAGTACAGCCGGAAATGGGTGTGGCCTATATCACGAGATGCAGCTCAATTCAGTGAACGCGAGGATATGAGGTTTTTGAAGGTGAAACGTCCTACAGGCTGAAATGTATTTACTTCAGTTTTGAGTTTGAGTTTTTCACAGCTTTGAAATTTTTGATGGCTTTGCTGCAATTCACACATCAAGCAAGAAAACATTATTTTGGGGAGACACTCTGCTGACTGGCCTGACACTGACTGTCTCTCTGAACTGCAGCAATGTGAAGCCACAAATCACTGCCACACAAAATCCACAGACATACAGTCTCCCTCCATTTGGCCCTTGAAATTTGGCATTATCTTGGCTATGTCACATGCATTCGACATGAGGCTCCACTACACAATCCATCAAGAAAGAGCTACTGCTTTGAAAGTGGACATGATTTACCACAACGTCTCCCCACTCCCCCTATAATCACTTGACTTAATGTAATGCAGGCAGGCTTTTAAAAACTGAAATGGTACTCTATAAATCTGGCCCGTCTCTTGACCTGCCATCTTTTCTTCCTCTCTTGTTTTCACCAGTTTCTCCTCGTTTGCCCTCTGTTTCACACACATGAACACAAACACATAGAATATCCTTCTTTTGTGGCAGTCTGTCCTTCCAGCTCCCTCTTCACTCCAGCAGTCTCTCATTCTCCATGAAATCTGACCCTTACCTGCTCCTTATTCTGTGTGATTCCCCTCCACTACAGCAGGACAGCCACTAGTAGTAAATCATCTCTGTTGCTTCTCAACAGTTTGTCCCTTGACATCTCTTCAGTGGAGCTTTGTCTAAGTGGGTGTCCCACACTGCCCTCTACTTGAACAAGCTTACTCAGAGTAATTTTTAGTTTCTGATCAGAAAACATATGTACATGATACAACATTACAGTATTAACATAGCAATAGTAATATGTAAATATCAATTAACCTCTAGATAATCGATTGACATTTGTGAATCGCGATGCATCTAAGAATCAGTTATTTTCCACACGCTATTTGAATCTGATCCAAATCCTATCCTTTCATTCTCCTAGTGATTATTTTGACAGACCCAGTAACCCTCACAAAAACAACAAAAAGTAAACAATCTATCATGGACTTTCATGGCTTTCATCATTTTACAGGTAAGTTGACTGGAGGACCAGTCTCTTAAAAAAATATTTTCAAAATGTGATGGCCCTCTTCCTGCACCTGGTTAAGCTTGCAGGATTCCTCCACTGTGCATTAATCATTAATGCAAACATCCATTTCACATAGAAACACGACAGTTGAATTTGCTCCCAGTCCGGGTCTGGTGTTAGGTCTAGTTTGTGCTACATTCTTGCTGATCTGAGTGGGAGTGTGTCTGTGATGTGTGTGTTAGAACTGTGGTTCTGCTAGATCAGCCTGAGAATTTTGGGGGGTCAGGAGGGGAGGAGTTTGAGTGTGTGTATGTGTGGGCAATGTGTCCTTTTGCAAACATTCTTCTCTGTGTATTTGTACGTATAAAAGCCATTTTTGGAAATATTTTTGGTGGCATGTTCAGATGTATGTTCCAAACTTGCCGCAGTAAAATAGCATTCTAAAAACCAAACTAGGTTACTTAGGTTACTAGGCTTATCATTTAATGAGTTTCCTTGCGTGTTTGTTTGTATTTAAGCTTCTCTGTGCAAGATTTAAATGACATGAAAAAAATCCAAATGGAATTCTGCTTTTGCAAATGGTCACTGGCAAAAAAATCTGTGTGTGCAGGAAATGACAGGAGCAGCTTAGTGCTTGAGTAGCGGAACAATGTCACGTCGGGCCGAGAGCAAAAAGCATGACCAGGCTCTTCAAATTCAAATGTTAAGCTTGGCAACTCCATTTCTATACACTGGCTGTTACTGGCAGCCTATGCATGCAACAGGCTATCTACATAATATAATTACAACAACCATTGAAATCTTGGCAGCACAAAACTCATTCCATTAAACAAAAAACATGGGCCATGGAGGTGTCATGGTGGTTTGCATTAACCAGGTATACAGGGGGATTTACAGTATATCTAATGAAAATTGGCGAAGATGCCTCTGTGCAGATTAAAGGCTGCAGCCAATTATGTTATAACTTTAGCCTTAAGGCAGTGTCTCCTTCCAGTTAATAAGTGTACTAGATTGGATGGAGAGAAGCAAAATACCCACCTAAGAAGACATGGTAATACAAGACAGGCACAAACTTGGTCTGCACTACACCACTGTTACTGTAAGGAGCCACTGAAAGAGGCACAGCATGACTCAAAGTTCAGCCATATTCATTTTCTATGGGACAAAAGTTAATTGCTTCGCAAGGCATTGTGGGATTGCAGGTGATGTAGGACTGGCCCGCGACCAAAGAGTAGGTCAAAATAAAAAATGTTTAACTTTAGGCTATGCAAATGAGAGCAAACTTCACTATGCAGTGAAACTGCTGAGGTGGCTTGGTTGTGGACTGGGAGGGTACTGTGAGATATCTATAGAGGAGAAAATAATTATTGCCATTAAAGAATTCCACCATTATACAACCCTTAACTATGAGGACAAGGCCAAAAGAAATGAAGCAATTTAACGCAAATTGTCGGAGAGAGCTGTGAGTTATTTACACAGTCCTTGCTAAAATATGCTTCATGGCTAAAAATATAGAATCCCTTTCTCATCATCATCTGCTGTTAAATTACACGTGTATTGACATTTGTGAGACAAAGAATTGAACCAATGTGTCATTTCGTTATTGATACGAAAAAGAAAAGTAACTACTCATACAAATAAGTCACAATATACATGTATGCTAAACTGATCACTGGCACGTTTCACTCATGAAAACAGGAAGGAATGCCCCTCCAGCCCTTTTCACAGCTACCATTCTAGCAGGTCGTCTGTGTTTGAACAAGGTAATAGGCTAATCAATTCCTTTTCAATAAGCTCTGGTGATACTGTCTAATATTATAAATAACTCCTGTACATAAATAATGCTTTGGAAGTAATCAGTGTTGGGGAGTACAAGAGTTACATGTAATTTAGTCATTTAATTATGTAATAAATTTAACTGTAATCCATTACAGTTACTGGGAAATGTGTCATTAAATTACATAAATTACTTGAAAATGTTCATGATTACATTGGGCATCACATCTGAATATTGTCTGTTAAAAGCTAGGCTATATGTTGAATAATACACATTTTGTTGCTTGCATGTTTTTCACATACACAGTGTCTTCCTTTGTCATTTCCAGCCACAGCCTTCAGTAAAGTTTGGTGCTGTTCTGATGCTTTTGATTGGTTCTCATGTTTGAATTTGCAGCTTCACCCGTCTGCCAGTTAAACTGCCTTTCAAGTTGTCTTTTGAAAACATTCATGAGAAATTTAGAAAAGTAATCAAGAAGTAATTAAAGTAATTAAATGTAATAAGTTACATTACTTTGATAAAGTAATTGAAATAGTTACACTACTGTTACATTTTAAATAGGGTAACTTGTAGTTGTAGTCACCTATTACATTTCCAAAGTAACCTTCCCAACACTGGACATAACTTTACACATTACAGATAACTTACATAAAGTATATCACAGAGCTATGTCAATCATTCATTGGGCTGAAAAATACGTAGGCCTACCCTGTTTACCTTGTAAACAGCCATGTTACCAGTTACTATTTAGGCTATGTTAAAATTGTAGTTTGTAGTATGTTTATTCCAACAGAAGTTTCTGCAAGAAAATGTGGATTGACCTCCATGACACATAACAGAAGGAAAATAAAAATCAATCAATCATGTAGATTAGGAGCCTCTTAGAAGCAAACGTGACATTTTGCTGCTGTCATGGGCTTCCTAGCTCCATTTGTTGAATACTGAGAGACAAGCACTTACATTAGGCCAGTGTCAACCCCAGATAATGACCAGCCAATCTCAAAATAAGGGCTTTCCCCAAACAACAGTAACGTTAGAGGGTTTGTTGCGCCAGCCATCATTGTCTCCTAATGAGGATGACGATGAAGGGTGCACACATACAGTGGAGATTGATGGCCACATTAACGTTACACCAGAGGGGAAGAAGAGAGGGTCGACAGAACGCCCTCAGAAAATCGCTGACTTACAGCAACGGAGAAGTCACCTACCATAAATTACACCTCCATGCCTTCAACAGTACCGAATTTTAAACGTCTTATTTACACGTGTAAAACAGCCACAAACAAGAGTTCAAAGAATTTACCATTAACGTTAGCATCCTCCTTGCTAGCTTGCTCATCTTCCCATTGCTAGCTGAAGACGAGGCAAGAAAAAAAATCCAGTATGTAACTTAGACTTCGGAAACGTTTTGCTTCAGATGTACCCTTTTTCTCCTCTTTTCAGTTCCACATTAGTGCTTAAAATAAGCTTAAATGCGGTATTATTGATCAAATTCATACTATATACTATTTACTATATAAATAGGGGGCATCATATCACATTTCAGGTCATAACTGCAGCAAAAAAAGTTAGCTCAGTTACCATTGCAGCTAACTTAGCTGACTGAGTCGGGAATGGGCACCAGAACCAGAGCCGGGCAACAAAAACTGAGCTATAGGTTACTATTAGACTAGCAACTCACAAGTAGTATTACAACACAGGACGGGCAGCGACTACCGGCTTAGCATGCTTACATGTAAAAAAAACACCCATACCTGTCAACATTGCCACACCCCCAACTGAAAAATGTTCTTATATATTCTATATAATATCCAAAAAACATTCAATAAAAGTATTAGGCTATGTTAATTTCATATACTATAATGTTACAATATTATTTATTGTTACTATTCATTATAATTTCATAGGCCATATTATCAATCATTTTTCCGGTTTGCACGTATCTATTTTTAGAGGCATTTGCGAGTGAAATTCTCTGTGAAATGCATCATCTATCCTGGGCCCCTTGCACTGCGCTGCTCTTCTTCTTCTTTTTCTTGTTTTATTGGTGGGTGCCATTGACGTCACTTTTAGCTTATGTTCTACATACTGCCACCAGCTTTACTGGAGGGGATTGTAGCAAGCATTTCAGATACGCACAGCATTTCCTTTTTTCCTTTTTTAGAAACATTTAAATATGGGAAATTTACAGAATAATATTTAAACAGGAAAGCTAGAATACCAGGAAAAATGGGAGGGCTGACAGGTATGGCAACCCCATACATGGTCGTCTTTGACATGATGTGAGAAGTGTTACTTCTCCACATTCTGTTGATAATGTTAGTTTAAACTAAAATTTACATTTATTATATATACATATTATATACATTACATTTACTTACATATTGCACCTTTAAGTGTATTATACAGTTGTATCTTAAATTTGAAATTATTTGACTACAAGATTTACAGATGTCAAAATTCTAAATGTTAACTGTTTCTGATATGTGAGGTTGTCAGTGTGCACAAAGTGCAGTGTTTTGTTTTTAATTAAAACCCCATCATTGCATTACTTAAGTGATTCACCTGCCAGCTCCTTCCCACCTACAAGGCCACAGGCCTTTTTTAGGTCTCATTTGACATAATTAGTTTCTCTGCTAATGAGTTGCTGTGTGGATTCCCATTCCAGGTGGTTAAGTGGAGCTGTTTGGTCAATTTCAGACAAGCCTTTTGTCTGCATGAACATGAAATGAAAACCAGAATGTCATGTACGAGAGCGTGTTTCTCTGGGGAAAATAGCATGATTAACATACCAGGACTGATACAGTCATTGTGTCACACCTCACAGGACTGAAGGCATCTGAAATATTAGTACTGTCACATTCTCGGAAACACTCCCTCTGTTAGATCCAAGGGTTATTTCAGTCTTCACTATTCTGTGTTGATCCATAATCCCATTACCTTAACCAAGAACTCTTGAAGAGCTGTGTGTGTAGTGTAAGTAGGATATTCCATGTATGTATATGTGTGTGTGTGTGTGTGTGTGTGTCACTGTTTGTCACTCTCTCCTTGCAACTTCCCTGTTATTGATCAGTCTGCGACCTACTGTACCATGCCTCTCACATTAACACTTACTGAATATGCAGTTAAAATTATGGGGCTTCCATAGCTGGCAGGGTGCAGCTGACCCTGTGCAAGCTTCCCCGTTAGTATCAAGTACAATCTACCAACACTATGATGCAATCCAATTTTTCAGGCAGAGAATCCTGACCACGCCATTACTAGCAATTGTATTTAAATGATTGGTGTGGTTTTGTATGGCACAGCAAAACAAACCTGACTTTGGATTGGATTTGGAGGGAACTAAATTTTGGAGTTACACTGTCTTTGCATAGTGAAGGATGCAAGTTAGTCCCATACACTGTAAGCTACAGCGAAAGATCAACATTAAACACAAATCCGACTGTGTTGCACACTGTCCATAAATAGCAATTACTGTTGATGAAAAACATGCACTTGTATGTACACAAAATAACAACTCACGCTGCGCCCAGAAAATGGCAAAATCACTGCTTACAGGTCACATTAACATCTAGATGCGTAAACCACACAGTCCTTTCCAGACACACTGTGATGTTTAAATGGTATCCTGCTACTTCTCTAATTCCTGTGGTTCCCTCCACTCACCCGCTGGTCAGGCGCTGTGTGCAGTAACTCATCAGACAGGAGACTAGGCAGGGCGAAACACAATTACCTTGCCTCCATCTGTCTGCATGTGAGCTCCCTCCCTCTGTATTTACACACATACACAAAAGCAGCCCATGCAGAAGCCACTAATTTCCAATGTTTCCCACTTTTCTCTCTCTCCATTGTCACTCACCACATTTAGGGCATCCCACTGTAATTACCATCAAGCTGACCCCACTCGAAGCAATCTGCACCACCCTCATGTCCCTCTCAACAACCCCACAGACACACACCATCACACAAATCACTGCACCTGGCTGCTGGTAGTGTAGAGGCTGTAATCCAGTGTCACCAGGGCTGAACATGTTTGTTCAGCCTGATTTAAGGGTGTTTTTGGCTGAAGGGGGTGATCCTGTCTAACACGATGGCATGTAGTTGATTTCCACTTGCTTCCGTTTGATTTCCATTTGAATTTAAAGTGAATTTGGCCAACTTTCAGAATATGTTAGAAATGGTAAAAATTCAAAACCGAGCCCTATACCAGTCCAGATGGTCAACAAACACAGTTCCTACAGTTGTGTTTGCAGCAGTTATAACTCGATTAGGCAGGCTAAAGTGCTTGTTTTTTAGTCACACATTAAAAACGATACAATTGTACAAATGAAAAGTCACCAGAAAGCAAGAAATAAAGCCTTTTCATAATCTAACTTTTGGAAGTTCCCCATAGCAGTTGTTTGGTGATTTATTTGTTGCTCTCATACGGGCCTGGATTATCAAATGAGTCATCATATTAGCTTCCTGGATCCTTAATAACTTCACGGTTCCCGCTCTTCCACATGATAAAGCTTGTATGATAAACAGTCTTATGCATTTAGTTCCCGACGTCTTTCTAAAGTGTGCCATTTACACTGAATGAGAGACTTACTTATGTGTGATATTAAATTATGGATAAAAAGTCAGGCAAACATGCTGTTTTGGAAATTGGATAAATGTGTGTTATGATAAAAAAAATACTGGACTACTTTGCTGTGAAAGGTCTATGTGTTTGATCAATACTGTGTCTGTTTTTTATCCATCATTTAGCTTTTGAGCTGTTGATATGGCAAAGGGTTAAATGGCCCTTTATTAAAATGTTTCCGCTCACACAGGGACCTGAACCGTCACCACTGGGGTTCCTTTAAACAAGGCTTTTATGAATGAAACAGATGAGAAGGCGTTGCAGGGATCCTTTGATTAATATATCCACCTGGACCATGATTGTGGGTTTTTTTCAGAAGATGATGACATGATTCATGCGTCATGTCATTGTTGGGGATGTGTGAGAGAGATTAGCCTGTATACATGTGTCTTTAGTGTGCATGCTTATGCACAAATGACCAAATACATCAGTCACACACTGACAATAGCTATACTGTCAAGCAGGCAGAGACATATCCAGTGGGATTCCTCCTCATCCCCAAAGCGCAGTGAATGCGACACTGGGCTGAGAGATGCAGAGGTGGGGGGAGATAAGTGTAAAATCACCTTGCCCAAGGGTACGGCCTGAACAGATCAATATCTGTGAGAATTGATGCCAAACTGTGGCGAGAAGTTACATGAATAGTGTGTGTGTGTGTGTGTGTGTGAGTGCAGTGGCCCTAAGGAGTCAGACAGGTTGAGGATGAGCAGCAGCTCCCCCTAATGGATTGAAATGAAGTGAATGATACCAAAAGCCTCAAAAAGGGACACTGGTTTAGGATTACAAACTAGGTTGGTACCATAAACTACTGTACATATAAATTGTGTAAAATGTTCCAGTAATATATTTATCCTTCCAAAATGTCAAAAATGTACTGAATGATCATTGGATTTTATTTTGTATGTTTTGGACCTGTCTACTTATAATAGACATATGTACATTAGAGGCTGGATTACCAACAAAGACCCAGTTACCCGACTTACTGTGTGTCAGCTTGTTTCTGCAAATTAAATGTGAAAATGTGTTTGGAAATATGCACAAACCTCAAAGCACATTGTGGTGACAGAAGTATTCTGATCCATAAGTAGCAACACCTCTCTGTAAAGATAGTTGCAAAAAAGGATTACCAGCTAAGTGAATTTAAAGTATCAAAAGCAAAAGTACTCATTATGCAGAACAGTTGGAAACCTAATTTTGCAGCTTGGAAAGAATTTTGCATTGCATTTAAAACAAGTTGGACTGTATTTACTACCTTGACAGATTTTAAAATTTAAAGGACTTAATTCCAGACTAAATGATTTACTAAACAGGAAAACATGTTTTAGAAGCCAATCACATTTTTATGTATTAAAAACAATCAACAGCAAATGCAGAACAATTAGGAACTCCATCTCAGATAAATACAGTGAAATAAAATGTACAGTTTTTCCCTATGAAATGCAATGGAGCCCAAATATGATGAAAATACTTAAGTAGCTCAAAACTGTACTGACCCAGGTCGAGGTAATTTTTACCTACTTTGTATCCAAACATGACAAACATATTAGGTTTTCCAGTCAGTGCCACTGACCAGGTCACTGGCGTAGATCTGCTGAATTTTGCTACATGTATATGTACGTGACAATAAAGTACCTTTACGCTTTATATTTTTTAAATATGATTTGTAAGGAAACTCTAAATCTGCTGAGTAGCAATAGCTTTTAGATAAATGTAGTGAAGTAAAAAAGTACAATATTTCCTTCTGAAACAGTAGAGTAGACGAATAAAGTGGCATTAAAAGTAAGTACTTGAGTAATTGCTTTACTTTCCACCATCATCAGTTATCATAAGGATGCTGAGACAGGTCCAGCTTTATTACCTAA